GAGGGACAGTAACTGCGTGTTTATATGTAAGCGTGTAAAACCTGCAGATAGTCCGATTAACAGTATTTCGTCTCTATCTGCCATTCTGCAATTCATCTCATGTAAGCAATAACGTGGCGCACAGCGTGACGTGAAAAAAGGCACATACCTTTGACGTCGCGTGACAAACTCTGTATTCCTCGTCCACACATAAACGCAAAAAATGAGTTTTAAAAAATCTCCGTTCTCGGTGATTCGAAACGCCGTTTACGTGTGGACGAAACAGCTGCGTTTTCAAAAATACCCATGTAGGTGTGGACGTAGCGTAAAAGAGTTAGTCGTTTATTTTCTTACTACCTGTAATTTATTGCAGATTACTTGTATTTGCTTAATTGTTTACTAAATGTTTGAGGTGTGAAATACACCGCAATGGAGCAAAATATGGGTGTGTGTGGTTGGAGGATGTGTTCATGCGTGCGCGCGCGCGAAGGGGAGGCGCGAACATTTTTCTTGTAAAACAAGGGGGGCCCAGCAAAAAAAGTTTGGGAACCACTGCTTTATGCTAAGGTGCCCTGTCTAACATTCACACGCACACTCTGGTTGATGCACTCAAGGTTCAGTATCTCGCCCAAGGATCCTGCAAAACATAGACTGGAAGTGTCCGGGATTAATCCACCGACCTTTCAACCTATAGGTGACCCGCTCTACCACCTGAGCCACAACTGCTCCAAAAAAAGAGAATGATTATTAGAATAACATATTCTAGGTGGTTAAAATGCTCTACAAAAATGCTGGTGGATGTTTACAGCAGGTAGAAACAGGTTGGTGCTTCTGCATGGTACAACCGATACTGATATTTGCAGATTTAAATAACTACACAGTGTTATTAATGTTTATGGAGGAAAGTCTGTTTATGTTTTGTGTATCTGTGATAAAACAAATATATTTTAAAAATTGTATAATGTATTGGAATATCTTGGATAACTTGGATTTGCCCAATTCTGTAGCATGTTCCACATCACAAACGCAACAACCGATCGAGCAAAAAGGGACGTTGCAAGGTGCCTTCTGGTGGACAAACTATGTGATGTCAACATTTATAACGTGGGTGGAGGGTGTTTCTCCCACCTCTGTTTTACTTTTTACATTTTCATTTACTAGCACTTATAAATATGCTGATATTGATAGTATCAACCAATATTAGCTATTTACAGATCTATCGGCCTGCCGATAACTCTGTCTGGTTTTACTTGAACTTTTACACCCTTTAAAACCTACTAGGAGTAACCTTTGAAGCTCTTTTCGGAACTGAGTGGTTTCTGTCATATTTTGGGCCTGATTATAGAAGAAAATGACTGGGCTTACATCGGATCTTAGTGAAGGTGAGCTCTTCCTATGCAGCTACCCTTGGAAAACCTGTAACCTATTCTAATGACCATCAGACCAAGCTTTTATTGATATATACTGAGGTGTCAAAACTCATCATTAAGGGTACAGAGGACATTGTTAAATTTTGTCATTATGCAGGAATGAGTTAAAAGCTCACTTTGGAGGCAATGGTATTTTGAAGCTTCCAGCACAGCCAAGGGTCTTCCAGGCCAAAGCTTCCCTTTCAGTCTCACTGGTTAATATATATGAATACATATACATTAAAATGATGAAAAGCTAAATCATTGTCAAGTGATGGCCTGTATTTTTTCCTTAGCTCTATGCATCGCCGAGCCAAAGCCTGCTCAAATGTGATGGGAATAAAGGTGGACTATTAAACACAACCAGAGAACTTCCAGTACCAAAAATCTTGTCGCTTGCCTAATGCTTCTGTGTATTCACATGCGAATATCTCCTGACATTGATTCTTTCCACATCATCTGAGACTTGCCATTCATCATCACTAAACTTGACAGTCCATCCATCCACCCACCAGATTTCAAATAATGAAATATTTAAAGAGATGGACACAAAATAAACATACAGCTGCAATTCATTATACACGATCTGAGATTTACATGTTTCCATGTTGCAGAAGTACCTCTGCAACCAGCATTTTCCCTGACTACAGACACATGAGATGTTCTGCCTGTAGGGCATTGGTATTCTCCTGGAGGTGTCTGTCATTTGTCATTTAATCCTGTGGTCAGACCCTGTGTTCTCAGAGGAAAAAGAAAAGAAACAAGTATCTGATTGATGAGTCATGAATCTGAGTCAGCAAGATAAAGTCCATATGGCTTTGTGCAGTTTCGGGCATATGGACTGTCTCTCTGCCTTTCTTCTCTCTCTTTCGATGATCAATCATCATCAATCTGCAGAAAACCTTGGCTTCTGTCAGTTCAGTGCCAACTCAACAAATGAAGCAGAATTAAGCAATCTATAACTTTTCTTATCCACATCTGAGGAACTGCAACAACATCAACAATTCTTTGGCAGCACTATCAATACAACGCAATCTCCCTAAACAATAAAGAGAATGGAGTCAAACAGACTAGCCAATTGACACAGAGATCCAACAGAAACATCCAGTGACGGGTAATATATCACAATACAAAATATTGCAATGAAAATACAGAATGAGATCCAGTAGAACTCGCAGGACGGCAGTCTTGATGATATTAAGATCCCAGATGCTAGCACGGGGAAACATCCATGGAAGGAAAGGAATGTTCAAAGTTAGTACCTTCGAAAATCTCTGGTGTCACCTTTGATCTGGCTGTGTCGTTAAAGTTTCCGAAATATTTTCTTACAATAAAAGTGGAAATTATTGTTTGACGGGTTAAATCAGTGACCTCAGTCTGGAGGCAAGGCTGCCAAGCTGCACTAGCACTGTGGGGGAAGTATGGGAAATAAGCTTTCTACATATTCTCTATTATCTTATTATCTTTGTTGTGATGCCAAAGCAGTCTTTCCACTGACTCTTCCACTCCTTATTAATGTCAGTACCAGTGAGGGTCTTTCCCAACCACAAGTGTCAGCTAAATACCTCAAATCTACCATCGAGCGCTCTGTGTCTCATTTAGTCCATGTCTTCTGGCCCTGCAGGGCACTGACTTCACTTATGAAAACATGACTTCCCAGCTGCTTGTTTTCCCCGAGTCTTCTCACGAGGAGGAGAAAGCTGAGCTCAGCCAGTCAGCAACAAACGGCACCTTTGCCGAGACCTCAACAGTAGAGATACTTTGTTCCCTCTGGCTTGTGTTTTGGTTTGGCTCTGGTTCCAAGGACTTGCAAAACAATATATGAACACTGATGTCTTTTTTGCAAAATTCCAAGATAACTTTCATACTGGTCTACAGATGTGTTTCATACTTGGAGCTTCTTATTGTGGTGACGTGTGCACATAGTATACCTGTACCACTGAGTTAGCAGCAATACCAAAATAATAACTTCTTGGTTTGTAGAAAATTACTGAAATTAAGAGCTTTGAACTTCTATAATGTGGACTAATTTGATGCATAAAAAATGAGAAAAAAAAATTGGATCAAGCATTTAATTCTAACTGCAATGCTAGCAATATCCAAAAGGCAGATACTCACAGATATAATAATACTCTCTGCCAGGGCGGAACTCAAAGCCTAAGGAGAAGGGCGTAAAGAGCTGGAATTTCTCTGAGAACTTGAGCGGTCCGTTTGGCGACAGAGGCCTGTTGCACTCCCAACGCTTGAAGCCCTTGGAGTTGTGGTCGCATGAGCTGTAGCCGTCGTAGTTCACCATGTAGAGGACGTAGCGCTCTGCTCGATCATCAGCAACTGGGCCGACGTAGTGCGGACAGTAGATGTCAAGGTAGTCATTGATGCAGACGTCGATGTGGTAGTCACCCCGGTAGAATCTGAAAGGAACAGAAGAAACATAACCACCATGAGAATACTTATGAGTGTTAAAAGACAGACATAGCTGCAGGGTCTGAAAAGCGAAGCCAGTACGGAAGGGCTATGAAACCTGCATTCTTGTTAATGGGCACCTTGGGGCAATACAGCTGGTGGGTGGTGGTGGGGGGAAACAAGGCTTCCTGTCCTATAGAAATCCATGGGAAAAAGACCGTCAGCCTCAACCTCTCAACACTTTCCTGATGAGTTAATGGGTTCAGTCACTCATTTTGGGTCATGAATAAAGTCCATTTTGTACATTTTGGTCATTCTAAGAGCGAGAAAGAAGGACAGTCCACGATATGCACACTGGCTATCGACTTGTGGTTGAAAAGTCATTACTCAGTAAGCATGCGGTTTCACAATCAGATCCAACACTCCCTTGACATGTTTCAAAACACCAAGATGACTATAGTGAAAACATCTCGTTTCTTCATAACAGGATTTTACTAATCAGTTGGTGACATTACTGTAACTGCTGTCTGTGGTTTAATGTGGGAACCTTTATTCAGGCAGGTAAAGCGTCAGTTTTATTTTTTCACCTGCAACAATATTTATAAACTCCAGTGGGATTTTTACCAGGCCCAAACCCTCAAGGTTAAGTCCCTGATTCCATAATAAAGAAAAAAAGCCAACTGTGCAAATGTTATCTGAGGAATACTTTAGTGTCAAATCCTGAACCACATTTGGCATACATGACTGAAATAAAAAGCAAGACTTTTTTGAATATTTGTCTTTATAATCAAGAGTGAGGGCAGGTTTTATGTTGCAGCAATAATGCCACCATACTTGGTTTATTATTGGCTGTAATGATTGTTCTGCACATTTACATGAAGAGATGATTCCCCTGGCAACATCATACAAAGTGTGACTACTGGTCTTGACCTTTCAAATCATGTATTTGCCTAATGAAGATACACTGAGCATGCATGCTCTCTGCAGCTGCCTGGTTTGTGCTGTTCTTCTCATTTAACATTCAGATCCCCTGAAGCAGTGCTTTGCTAAAGGGTACATCAGGAGCAGCTGTTTAAGTGTGCAGGAAGTTATTTATTGATTTGTTTGGGGAGTCTCTACCCATCATGTTCACCAATGATGCGTTTCCCTAAAGAGTTGTGAATACAGCAATACCTGATGACAAGTGGTGAAAAGTTGGGCAACTCAACAAGGCCACAGCTGAAGAAAAAGTGCTCAGGCTGGACCGTCAAAAAGATGCACGCAGGCTCTGGTTTTGTTTACATGATCTCATCATGTCAGCCTTAATCATCCCCAGCATCTTGTGAGATTCAACTGAGTTCCTCCGCAAGGCACCCGCCTGAGCAGAAAGCTCTCCTGACACATGCTAGTCACTCCTAAGCCATATATCAATGTTAGTACTCAGCAGCAATGATTTATGCTGGAGCTGAAATTAAAGTCCCCTAGCATTACAGGACTAATCCCCCTGGTTAGCATGTGCCTTTTGCAGCGCTAAGAGGATCCCTGCGTAGAATACGATTTTCATTAGCTCCAATATGACAGCATGATGTAGGAGCCCCTTGTGGAATCTGTGAGTCTGAGAAAACAAGGCCTGTTCTCAAGCCTCGCCTTGAAACAGCCCCTTGTGTTTACTGTACACCGAGTGGACACAAGAAGTAGGGAAAAAGTGTAATAGCGACATATGCCAGGTATTCATTCCTGAGGAGAGCGATTGGAAACATATATTCCCATAGGCGCCGTATAAGGTTGCATTTCTGAGGCTTTTAGCGGAGACAGATTAGGCTTGGGCAGCCGGCTGGATGTGTCTCTATAGCTGCTAATGGCCCGCGGTTCAGTATCACTGACATACTGCGGATGTCTTCAATACTCCACCTCTGTTCATTGACACAGCGAGGACCGTCAGGGGAGATGGGGCCAGAGACCGTGCTGGAGCATGCGGCAGGCTGATGATCTGATATGGGTGAACTCGCCAGAGCACCGTAGGGGGTTTTCTATCCTGACTTTTCACAGGCCCTCACTGGCCACAGATCACATATTATGCCCATCTCTGCTCCTCACCGAGGGAATGGGAAAACCAATCAGCTGATCTGCGGCCAGGTGAGACAGACAAGGAGGGTTTTAGATGCAGCTGTTGCTACTGACACGTACATGAGCAGCATAAAGGGACGTGTGTGCTCGCCGTGGCCTGCCGGGGGTATCAGGTTGTCGTTACAGATTGTAAATGTGCTGCAGGATTAGTGGCCAGCCCACTGGGTTTGCGAGGGCCACAAATGAGTGGATGTGTGTGTATGCATGATAGCGGGGTGTGTGGGTGTCTTGTGGCACCGTTGGCCATATTCTAATCTTTTTCTCTCTCTAATTATAGTCTGGTCAAATGTGAAACCAAAGCCCTGTTTTCTCTCCCAGTTTTTTCCCCCCTCGAGCACCAGCTGAGCGCTTTGGCAGTCTCAGCATGGCCTCCCCGCGCCTTAGTTTCAGACTCGCTTGCTGATATTATGACTACCAGGGGTCAGCCGGCTCCACAGTATCATGTCCTCAGCCAGAAGCACAGTGGGATAGACTGCTTTGTCCTGTGTCTTTACAAAGCTGAAAACTATAGCTGTGCCCCTGTAAGTGTCAGAGGCTGTCAATCAAACACGACCCCAGAGTAACAGCTAAGATTAGTCAGGATTAAAAAGAGTTTCAAACTAATTCCTGTGTGAAAGAAAAGAGGAGAAAGTTTGTGAAAGTGACAGTGACCCTACTCGGGCTTGAGTATTTGTTTCCAGATACATCCGGATCATGTCTGAAGAGGGGCCAGAGTTTGCTTCAAGCATCAGCAAGCGTGGTAAGATTAGTCTCCAGTGACTGATTAGCTTTCACTTCACTTCTTCTGTGCTTAAGTGCAGGGGAATCAAAACAATAAGTTCACTCGGGATGTTAGATTCCACTCTTTTTTAAAGATTTTTAAACAGCATTTAGAATAAACCGGAGCTACTTTATCCAAGTGAAACTGTTCTTGGATATAAACTGTAAGACTTTATGCAAGAATAAGTTTCTCTTGAAATTTGAAAGTTTAAACACTGCATACATCATCTCCTCTTTATTGGAGTGGAAGCACAACTATTACTTCTGATGGCTGCATCCAGCAGGATAAGGTGCCACGTCACAAAGCTCATATCATCTCAAACCAGTTTGCTGAACACAACAATGAGTTCACTGTCCTCAAATGGCCTCCACAGTCACCAAATCTCAGTCCAATAGAGCACCTGTGGGATGTGGTGGAACAGGAGATTCTCATTATGGATGTGCAGCTGACAAATCTGCAGCCACCGTGTGACGCTGTCATGTGAGTTAGGAGCAGAACCTCTGAGGAATCTTTCCAGCACCTTGTTGAAGCTGTGCCATGAAAACTTAAGGCAAAAAGGGGTCCAACACAGTACTAGCAAGGTGTAACTAATGAAGTGTCCCATGAGTGTACGTAGTCCAGAAAATGTCTTGATTTCTCTTCAATAATCAATCAAGAAATGTTCTTTTTCACTTCAATAATCCAGTTGAACATAAATCTTGCACACGGTGATACATTTTTACATTAGATGTTGTAAGAAGCTGCTCACACGGCTTTCTTGCTAAACTTTTTGCTGCAAGAAATTCAGTTGAAATTTCTGCAACAAACCACAGTGTTACGGTGACGGTAAATCACAGTCCGACAGCACTGTGTGACATTATGTGAGCCAAACAATGTGACAATAAGAAAATGTGCTTCAGTCATCAGGGCAGCTACAACGACGGAGAAGAGCCACCCTCGAGACAATGCTGCACTTTAAATGCTGCATGTAAAACTATGCTGGAGTTCACATGCCGCTCGCTGGAAAGGCTGTCTGAATCCTGCCCAAAGCTTCCAGCCATAAAAGATCAATACAGGCAATTTATTATAGGGTGCTTCTCAAATGATCTGGAAAGTTTGCAATAAATAAACTAGAAAGATATTGCATGGAATAGGGATTAGGGAGGGTGGGGTGTCAAAACATTCCTCAGACACCTGGGTCGGGGAGAGGATTTGATGCGGCACCTTTATCTCTCTCAGTTTTGGCTTTTATTCACAGCCCATGATCGATCAACAGCTGTTGGTGAAACCATTCACGATTTAATCTTGACATATTTCTTTTTGCCAAAAAATGTTCTCTAAGCAGAGAGAGGGTGCCCCCTGAAACAGCGTGCACCCCTGCCTGCCTGTAAATTTAGTTTGAATGACCGGTTTCTTACTCATGTCTTGGATGCGCTTCTCTCTGCTGCTTGTTTGCAGTCAGACTGTGAAACACAGGATTGGATTCTAGCTCCAAGCAGAGCCAAACATGTGCTGCGAAAAGCGGGCTGCATATGGACTGTAGGTGTTTACTGCGAAAGACGATAAAATGCGGGGTGAGAGAAGTGAGAGCGCCAGCAGATGAGCCAGATGTTTGCCAGATGGAGGCTGTACGGACGTTTTTGAGTGGCACAAGTGAAATATTGATAAGACGCAGAGCCATAAACGCACCGCCAGACCCGCGATGTAGTGGAATAAATGAGATTACAGCCCTCGCTGCCTTCGGGTTTCTTCTTTTAACCAAAGTCTGTCTCCTGCTGATCTCTGCTCTGATCTGTACTTCATCTAAGTTAAGACTAGAAGGACCCCCATTCTGGGCTGGACTGAAGCGTGTGAAAGAAACTTTTCTTTTTCTTCTACCCAGCTAAAAAGCCTCAACTGCTTTCTCAGTCACCAGCAATAGGGTTTCTTCATTTTCATCAAAAAAGATTTATTCATCTGTTTTTCTAAATGGCTTTGTTGTTATAGGCTATTTAGTGAGTCATTAAGCCTTCACAGGGCTGATCGGGGCAATTTCAACAGTTATGTTTTTCCTTTTGCTGTTGCTCTGAGCAGCGGGAGGTGTCGAAGGCTGAACAAGGCTTTGGGGTTTGATAGCAGGAGGCAGAAAGAACGATTAGACCTTAGCAGAAAAAAAGAATCATG